TCAGGGTTGTGGGATTGCCCGCATCAGCCTCTGCCCTGGGTGTGGAGCCCGCTTAAGATTCTCTTTCCCTCTCCCTCTGCCCCTCACCCACCCTCATGCTCTCTCGCTCTCTTTCTCAAAAAAAAAAAAAAAGAACAAACAATACAAGAGGGTGTTCGATGAAAGTGAAAGAAAATTGGCAAAATGCTAATAATGCCAATAATAAAGTTGGGTGATGAGTATGGGGAAGTTCGTTTTACTATTCTCTGTACTTTTATGTATGTTTGAGATTTTCCATAACAAAAGATCTCTAAAGATGGTGTGATAAAATTGTGATTTTCATCTCCTGTATGATTTTTATACTTAGTTCTCTGAAAATACCTTGTGTATCACTCCTTTCTAATTTCACTAAGAAAACTTCAGATGTCTCTAGAACTCTGTTGCAGAAAATCTAGCTGGACCACCCATTGGTCTTACTATTCAGTATTTCAACAGAAAAGACAAAGTGCTTGAAGACTAATTTTTTGTGAGAAAACTCTATAACCACATTGAAACAGTAGTCTACAATTTATCCAGCTCCCTAGGTTCTCTGTTTAGTATTCAACAAATTTTATTTATTTATTTATTTATTTTTTAAGATTTTATTTATTTATTTGACATAGAGACACAGCGAAAGAGGGAACACAAGCAGGGGGAGTGGGAGAGGGAGAAGCAGGCTTCCCGCGGAGCAGGGAGCCCGATGTGGGACTTGATCCCAGGACCCTGGGATCATGACCCGAGCCGAAGGCAGATGCTGAACAACTGAGCCACCCAGACGCCCCCATTCAACAAATTTTAACCAATAAGATATCCTTGACTTCCTCAAATCATTAAAATATAAAGTGTGCTCAGCTGTTGTTGGAAGTATAAAGACTCTTCTGCTTTTCCTTCCAGTAGAGGGCTTCTACTAAAAGAAAAAAGCAAAATCTTTACTATGGAAAGATTTAAGTCAGAAGTTGAGGAATAATCTGGCTTCTTTGGGTATCCTAATGCTAACCTATTAATCTGCTTCAGAACTTACATTCAATGTACAAAAGATCTTGTTTCTGAGATCACACCATATCAAGTTGTATTATTTCATAATTCTCCGTCCTCCAATACATGTGCTATTGGGCCATGCAGAGAACTGTGGATTGTAAAAGAGGGTCATGTTCTTTCTAGAAACACTGCTTTACTATTTTCTTTATCCTAGGATGTATTTTCAATGTTAAAAATCCTTAGAGAAACAAACCAAGCCTACCACATTACTAATTTAACCTAATTTTTATTTATGTTCTATGTGTTTCAAATGTCATATGACATCAGAGCATTTTAAAATTTAAGAACATACATATCAGGGACACCTGGGTGGCTCATATGGTTAAGCATCTGCCTTCGACTCAGGTCATGATCCCAGGGTCCTGGGATAGAGCCCCGCGTCAGGCTCCCTGCTCAGTGCAGAGCCTGCTTCTCTCTCTCCCTCTGCCATTCCCTCTGCTTGTGCTCTCTGGCTCTGTCTATCTCTCTGTCAAATAAATAAATAAAATCTTAAAAAAAAAATACATATCAGAAATAATGCTTTAAGCCACATGCTGCAAAATGTAATGGAAGACGTGGGTAAAGAGTTTTTTTTTTTCTTTTCTCTAGGTTACAAAATTAGTCATAAAAGATAGTAAAATATTTTCATTGTTTTCTCCATCATAAAAGTTTATTTTCCTTTCAAAATGAAGTATCTCCTCTTTTCACATGACAGAGTTTAATCTTCTGTGTTTATGGCAGAATGTCATAAATCATTTTGTTGCAGCGGTTTATTGTTAGACGTTGTGCTGTCACTTAACGAGTCTGTTCTCTCTGTCTTCCAGCTGCACCAGACCCCACAGCTTTCCAAGGTCACATGAAACCCTGGTTGGCTGCTCTACGCTAGATGAGCATTGCACACAGAAGCCCACCTTCTTCCGCATTGCTTAGGTCTCTCCTACCTCATCTCTGCATATCAGAAAAGCATAATTTTAGATTCAGTTTTGATGATAGTCATCATTTAAAAGCAAGTACAGTTCACTGTGCCAAGCATTATTTGGCATTTAATTCTCTAAAGAACCTACTCAAGAATCAACACTGATTATTTCTGTTTTCAGATAATGAGACCGAAGCTCAGAAAAGTTAAGTAATTTGCTGAATATCACACAGCCAGGACTCCCTAGAGCCGAGATGCAGCTCTCCCAAGCGGTGCTGGAGTTAGTGCTTGTACCCGTTGGGTCACATCTCCCAAGTTTTCTGGTACTTTTCCCCACTGGCACAGGGTATCCTGAATGTGCCCAGCATTTGGCTCTGCTTTTAAAGCTAAAGATACAGTGCTGTTCTTTAATTGGATCTACAGTTACTGTTTCATCAAGTTGGGAACAGCCCTGGACCCTAATTGTTAGTAATCACATAAAGTGTTCCATTTTAAACAGACCTTTTTTTTTTCACATGCGTAAAACTTAAAAATAATGATACTCTGTTTTAAATTGCCAGTAGGCAACATGTAGTCATTGTATAACTTTTAAACTTGGTGTTCAAATATTATCTAAATTGTGTTCTCATCAGTCAGATAATTTTTTTTTTTTTAAAGATTTTTTATTTATGTACTTGACAGACAGAGACACAGCGAGAGAGGGAACCCAAGCAGGGGGAGTGGGAGAGGGAGAAGCAGGCTTCCTGAGGAGCAGGGAGCCCGATGCGGGGCTCTGTCCCAGGACCCTGGGATCATGACCTGAGCCGAAGGCAGACGCTCAACGACTGAGCCACCCAGGCGCCCGCAGTCAGATAATTTTTAGTGAATAAGAGAGTGAGTTTTGTTTTGTTTTTTTTACATAGATGGTCTATGGGATTCCTAATTAGAAAACAAACAAACCTAAGAACAATTTCTCTTGCTTAATGACAAAACTAGGTAAGGAAGGGTTAATTTTGTGTTGTCCAGTAAGGTAGCCACTGGACACATGTGTCTGCTGAGCATTTGAAATGTAGGTAATTTGAATTGAGATGTGTGGTAAGTGTCAAATACAAACATATTTTGAAAACTCAGGACGTAAAAAAGGATGTAAAATGTCTCATTAGCAACTTTTATATCAATCACATGTTGAAATGATAATATTTTGCATATACTGGGCTAAATAGTTACTAAAGTTCATTTCACTCGTTTTTTCTTTACCTTTTTTATTGTGGCTACTAGAAGACCTTAAATTCCATGTGTGGTCTCGCATATTTCTGTTGGACAGTGCTGGGTGAAGTGATGACTAGATGACTAGTCCAAGTGGAATCAAGCAGTTCATAGCATGTATGTTCGTCAGTGAAAAGCATTCTTTTTTTTTTTTCGGTGATAAGGTTAAATATCCATGGGATGACAATTCTACCATTTTCTCAAAGTTCTGCCCTGTTAGATTGCCATTGTATTCATAAGAACCACAGGAAAAGGCATTTCCTCCTGAAGAGTGATTCTCAGACTGATTTTTCACTACTCAGAAATGTGGCCCCAGGATGACATATCAAGAACAAAAAAAAGTACCAACATTTCTTGTGTGAGATTCAAAGCCGATGGTGTGGTTCCTTCTGAGCAGTGGTCACTGGTGTGGCTCACCCATCTCTACCATAGGGGTGATGGTTTACAGGGCAGCAGTGCAAAGCCAAAGGGCACCCACGAGTTCATTACATAATTCTTGGTAGCGTGAGGCCAAGCGTGCATCTGCTCTGGGGAACGGTGGGCAGGCTCTGACAGGCAGACCGAGGCGGTCATGACGATGTTTTGACAGAGTGTGTGCTAGAAGTTGTTTGTTTGGAAAAAGGCTTACCGGCTTTTTTCCCCCTCCTCCTTTCTCTCTCTCTCTCTTTCTCTTCTTCCCTTTTAAACACTCTGGCATAATACTGAATGACTTTGTTTTTAAGCTGCCTTAGCCTTGCTTTGTGAAGAAAAAGCCTGAGTACTCTTGCCCTGTAGGACACAAGTGTTATTTTTGGAGCAGAGGTTCTTAGCCTGATCTCTGTCTAAACCAATTTCTGTTCTTTGTGAGGTCGTGGTCCATGGTGGCTCTGAGTGATCTCCATGGAGGGAAGCTTCCTGGCTCCGTGAGGGAGTGTTGGCAAAGATGTCGAGGGGCCACGCCTGAAAGTGCCCTGCCCTGGGTCTCAACACAGAAGGCTCCTTCACATTCAGATTCCACTCAATAGATTGTGCCCTCAGGACAGTTGCAACCACATGTGGTGAAGTGGTGTTCTTTTTCTGCTTATGTCACTTGATGGGATGTTTTGGGTCAAGATGACCCCCCCTTTTCTTAGCCCAGCACTTTAGGTCCCAGGCTCCTGGGAACGAGGAAAGCCATAACTGGACAATCTCTGCAGGCTGTTCAGTGTGCAACTGGCTGTGGGACAGCCACCGCCCACTCCGAGGGCCACAACGTGAGTCCCCGAGGACCTCTGGGAACACGTCTCAGGACTCAAAGTTCAGAGCATCCCCTTCTGTAACCTGCTCTGAGTCGGGCTGCTGGACAAGGAAGAAAACCTCTCCTGCTTCTCACCATTCCTTTTCCTGACCTGGCATTCCTAGGAGTTTACATAGCTTGAGCCTGCTAGGAGACATGTCAAATTAGAAACAGTTTAGTAAAATAATGCCGTGAGCAACAAATAGTATATCACCTTATGATGACTCCTTTCCTTTGGAAAGTGGTAGCTGCGTATTCAGGGAGCAGCCGTGTATGGAAAAGGCCCCCATGATGAACAAGTAGCCCCCGCAGGTGTGTCAGGCTGCTTTCCTCTCGATGGACGGGAGCGTGACCTGTGCTGTGCCCTTCGCTGGCTGGCTATACATAGCCAGCAAAGCTTCTTACCAGGGAAACCTCTTTCTGTACCCTCCACCAGGCCCACCCGCAGACTAGAAGCCTCGCTGTAAATCCTGTGCAAGCTACTGCACCTGGCAAGGGAAACCGGCCAACTGGCCCCCAGACCTGACTGGGTCCCCACCACAGCCTTCCAGCCTTCCTTTTCTTTTCCCGGGAGCATACCCTGTGTTCAGCCATGGTCGACATGGGGGCCCTGGACAACCTGATCGCCAACACGGCCTACCTGCAGGCCCGGAAGACCTCGGATAGAGACAGCAGGGAGCTGCAGCGGCGGCGCCAGAGCCTGGCCCTGCCCGGGCCACAGAGCTGCACCCAGCTGCGCCAGTCCCTGCCCCAGGACTTCAACGGCCTGTGCGAGCAGCAGCCCATCGGCCGCCGCCTCTTTCGGGACTTCCTAGCCACGGTGCCCCCATACCAAGAGGCTGTGGCCTTCCTCGAGGAGGTGCAGAGCTGGGAGCTGGCTGAGGACGGCCCCGTCAAGGGCAGCATGCTGCAGGGGCTGGTGGCCACTTGTGGGGCTGCCTCTGCTTCAGGGCACCTGCACCCCTTCCTCAGCCCAGCGCTGGCCGCCAAGCGCCAAGCAGCCACCGCCGAGGAAGGGCAGCTGGTCCTGGTAGCACAGGCCAAGGCTGAGGTCACGGCCTTCCTGCAGGCCCAGCCCTTCCAGGATTTCCTGGCCAGCCCCTTCTATGACAAGTTCCTGCAGTGGAAAGCCTTTGAGATGCAACCGGTGTCAGAAAAGTCCTTCAACGAGTTCCGAGTCCTGGGGAGAGGTGGTTTTGGGGAGGTAAGTGTCTCAGAATGGCCAGACTGGAAGGTGAAGTACACAGCATAAAAGGGGTTTGTTTTGCCTTTAAAAAAAAAAAAAAAATCTTACGAGAACTTACTTAGAACTAATTTCAGTGCCGCCTGTGGAGAATTCCTAGCTCACTCTCACATCTTTTTTCTGGTCACCACGTGAAATAAAATAAGAGTGGCATAGGAAAGACAAACAAAACGTGGAGCTGGCCAAGAGTCTTTATCATGGGGTCTACACCAGAAGCACGCTGAAGTGCCCCGGACGCTTTGGAGAACGATAGCAACACACAACAGCGGGAGCTCTCCCTTTCCCTTTAATTGTGGTAATGGATGTAACTTGAGAAAAACTTCAGATATCTGAGAAAACACTTATCTTGAAGTAAAGTCTAGAATCAGTTTTATACCACTGCTGTGATCAGCCCTTTCTTTTTTTAAGTAGAAAAACATTTTCTAGTATACGTGCTGCCGAGGCGAGCACTAGAAAGACATGTTTTGAGGTAAAATTCGCATAACGTAAAATTAACCACTAACAACAACAACAAAAAAGTGTACAATTCAGTGGCACTTAGTACATTCACACTAATGTTGCGTAGCCATCCCCTCTATGTAGTTCCAAGACATTTTCATCACCCCTGTACCCGTTAACAGTTACTCTCCATCCCCCTCCCAACAGCTCCTGGTAACCCCTGGTCGGCTTTCTGTCTCCATCGTTTTGCCGACTCTGATGTTTCGTGTAAATGGAGTCACGCGATAAGAAGACGCGCTTCTTTCACCGAGCATAGTGTTTTAGAGGTTCATTCACATCATAGGTCTACCAGTACTTCATTCCTTTTCATAGCTGACTAGTCTATTGTATGGGTACACTACATTTCACTTATCCATTCATCTGTTGATGGACACTTGGGTTGTTTCCACCTTTTGGCTGTCGTGAAAAGTGCTGCTATGAACGTTCATGTACATGTATTTGAATACCTGTTTTCATTGCTCTTGTGTCTCTGCCCAGGAATGGAATTGCTGGGTCATGTGGCAATTCTATGTTTAACTTTCTTCAGAGGAACCACCAAAATCTTCCACATTTTAGGTTCCCACCAGCAAAGCATGAGGGTTCCAGTTTTTCCACTTCCTTGCTGGCACTTGCTATTTCCCCTTTATTTTTCGTTATGGTCCATCTAGTGGGAGGTACAGTGGTACCTCATGGTGGTCCCAGCTCTTTCCTGAAGAACCCCTATTACTCACGGCTTCTCTTTTTCTCAGAAGCTTGCCGTCTTTTTACCTCCCTTGATTTCTGCCCTTCCACACCCTGAATCAGCCTTGCTCCCTTTCCTCTCCAGTGCTTCCTTCTTCTACCTCATCCACTCCCTTTCTTTCTCCCCTTAAGGTGTGTGCTGTCCAGGTGAAAAACACTGGTAAGATGTATGCCTGTAAGAAACTGGACAAGAAGCGCCTGAAGAAGAAAAATGGCGAGAAAATGGCTCTTTTGGAAAAGGAAATCTTGGAAAAGGTCAACAGCCCTTTCATCGTCTCTCTGGCCTACGCCTTTGAGAGCAAGTCCCATCTCTGCCTGGTCATGAGCCTGATGAATGGGGGAGACCTCAAGTTCCACATCTATAGTGTGGGCATGCGGGGCCTGGCCATGAGCAGGGTGGTCTTCTACTCGGCCCAGATGACCTGTGGAGTGCTGCACCTCCACTCCCTCGGCATCGTCTACCGGGACATGAAGCCTGAGAACGTGCTTCTGGACGACCTCGGCAACTGCAGGCTGTCTGACCTGGGGCTGGCCGTGCAGATCCAGGACGGCAAGCCTGTCACACAGAGGGTGAGTGGCTCTCCTCGGTCCTAAGGGTAGGGCACAGAGTCGGAGAGGAGGGGAGAAGGCTGATCTATTCCCCAGGCAAACGGAGCCTTGGGCATAATTCTTCTGATTTCCTTCTTCCTAAAGCCATTATGCTGTCATCTTGCCTTGAGTGGAGTGATGTAAGAGGATTAGCTTAACTGGCTATTTGAGGGCTACTTTGCTCTCTTCTGGCAGGCACAGGGAGTCTTCTTTGTGAGCTGGAGATAGTCTGTGCTTTCATGGTGAGATGGAATGAGCTAAATCCATAGTGGGCATCTAGTATGTTCCACCAATAACCACCTCCCCAGTGCCATGATCCTGAGTCAATAGAGACTTGGTTTCCTCCTCTGGAAAATTTTAGGGGTTGGGTCCTAAAATTCCAGGATCCTGGCAGGTAAACTTCAATAGGATAAGAAAAAGAAGAAACCCCTAATACTTAGCACATTAAAGTAAGTATCTCCTTTCCCACTGAGTGCAGATTGGCGGGGGGGAAGGGGGGGGTTACTTTGGATAAAGGTGAAATTTTGAATGAAAATGTATAGAAGAGAACAAAGGCAACTGATATTTATTTTGATCATTTTGGTTCGAAGTGGCTTGCAGAGAATTCTTTGATTAAAAGGGTATTAATTCTTTCATTAATTTAGCAATTATTTAAGTAAACAATACAAACTCTCTTTGATTCTGACAGGTCTTTACCACTGAGTTTCTTTGCACAAAGGTGGGAGAAAGCGCAGGAAGACAAGGGCCTAAGTCAGGCTCTTAAATATTCACTTGAAACTTTGTTTTTGTACAGTTTCCAACTTATAAGGCAGAGAGGATAATCAGGCAATGAAGTGAGGAAAACCATGGCAAATTTGGGAACATGCAGGTGATTTTATGTAGCTGTAATATAAGGGGTGTTGACAAGATGTGTAGGGTTCAGATCATGCAAAGTCATTGGAATGCTTTCTTGTGGGGGCCAAGGAGCCATTGAAGGCTTTCAAGAAGGGGAATGACATGAGTAGATTTGCATTTTTAAAAGACCAATTTGAGTTGTAGATGGGAGGCAGAGGACCTAGTTAAGAGGCTAATGCAGTGACCCAGGAAGAGATGGTGGGTACTTGTAGAAAATAGTAGGATTAAAGATGTGGGAGGAGATTGTCACCATTGGAAAGAGACATGCTAGGACATCAAGACCAGCTGGGTATGATGGTGAGGAACAGAGAGGGTCTCTAGCTCCACTGACTAGAAGGAAGAGCAGAACTGTGGAAAAGCTAGCAAATTCAGTCAGTGATGATTGTGTTGTATATGAGACAGACAGGTAGAGATGTTCCCTGGGCATTTAGACCTGTCGGTCTGGTGCTATGGAGAAAGGTCTGGGTTAGATATTGGGATTTGGAGTCACTGTGACTTGGGAAGTGTCAGGCCCCACTGAGTCACATGGGAAATAATGAGGGAAGAGGACTAGGAATGGCAGCTGGGGAATATCAATATGTAGGGCATGTGGAAGAAGAGCCTTGAAGAGGTTAGGTTAAATAAATAGGATGAGTGGTAGGAATGGCATAGTCATGGGAGCTGTATCAGTTAAGGGTTGATTTCAGCAGCATATCGTAGAAAACCCAAATAGCAGTGGATTAAACCAGACAGGGGTTTATTTTCCTTATGTAACAAGTTGTGTGGAGATTAGTGGCGCTAGTGTTAGTCAGCAGCTGCAGGATGATGAGATCAATATCTCTGGCATTTTGGCCTTTTCCATGTGCCATAACCATCTGAATCTGGAAGCAAATCCTGGGCTCCAGGTAAGAATGCAGCCCAGCAGATATCTTGACTTGGGTCTTGTAAGATCCTAACCAAAGAACCTTGCCATGCTGTACCCAAACTTTTGACCTACAGAACTGTGAGCTAATAGAAGGTAGCTGGGGGAAAGATTTTTGTATGATAGCATCAAAATTAATCAAAAAGATAGTAAGGTGCTAGACATTGTGAGAGGGACAATGTTTTCCTTTCCAACAGGGCTCAGAATGTGTACCATCTATTATAATAGAACTTGAGGCTGTAATAGAATTTGAAACTCTGGACTTGATTCTTCCAAGTGGGTGATTCTTCCCTAGGTAGGAGCTAGTCGTCCTTGAAGGGGTACAGGCCCTTTCAGGCTATTGGGGGATATTAGGTGACGCACTTTGGACATCGCTCTATAGGCAACAGAGAGCCACTGAAGGTTTTTCAACAAGAAAGTGGCATGACTGGAGTGATTCTTTAGGAAGATGATTTGGACACTGTGTAAGATGAATTAAAGAAGAAAGAGACTGGGGGTGGGGGACCCACAAGCAGCTACTGAAAGGATCCACACATGAGGTGATGTGGGTTGAGGAAAGGCCTTGGGCTCTGAGCAGTCCTGTGTCCACAGTTCAGCCCCCCTGGCCTCTCACCTAGGCTCCATCAAGACGCACACCTGAAGGAAAAAAAAAAAAAAAAAGACCCACACCTGGACTTCCTTCTCTTAAAACATGGCTGTCCTCAGTGGAGGGGATGAGAAAAGCACGGAACCACTCTTAGAATATGGTGACAGGAGGCACCTCAGGGAAGAAGACACAGGTGGCTCTGCTCAGGTGTGAGAAAGATGGAGGCAGACATACCAGGAGAGGCAGGGAAGCTTAAGAGTGCTGGCTGGGGAGGCAGAAAACCTGAGTCCCTATCCCAGCTGTGTCACTGACTTACAGTATGCCATCTTATGTAGGCCTTAAGGCCTCCTTCATCTCCAAGTTTTAAGCGTCTATGAGAGAGTCTTTGAATTATTTGGAAGAAAAGTCTTGTAAATTCAAAAGATTAACATATGGAATAAGTTACTATGATTTACTAGACTATCAGTCAGGGTTCTTGTGGGACAAAATGAAATTATTTAAGAAATGAAATTAATGTTTTTCATACCTAAGAAGCTCAGAGGCTTGGCTTGATCCAGGTGCCTGAGCAGTGGATTCCCTGAGAATCTCTGAGCAGTGGAGGATTCCCTGAGAATGTCTTCCCGTTTCCCTGCTCTGGTGTCCTCAATGTTAGCCTCACTCTCACTCAGGTGATCCCTGCGCAAAGGCCACCAGCATCTCCATACATATCCTACCAACTGAGCAACCCCATGGAAAGAAAACACTTCTTTACAAACAGTTCCTTCACATTTCCCAGGGTAGACTCTCAATGGACAACTCAAGTCATATGCCCAACCACAACCCATTCCACTGACCAGGATGAGATCACTGCTGTTCCCAGGAGCCAGGGAGAAGGTCTGTCCCGTCTAAATCTCATGGACTGACATCAGAAGAATGTGTTCTCCAAAGGAAAATCAGGATGGAAAAGAATGAGAAATGGATGTCAGCTAGGCAAAGAGTGGATACCCCTAGTAACTGCTGTTACCTCCATGATTTGAAAAGTTTGAAAGCTTTCTGACCCCTTAATCAAGACACGATGGGATCTAGATCTTTTTTAAGAAGATTCTATGAGGTAGGAATATTATTAGCTCCATTTTACAGATGGAGAAATTGAGACCCAGAGAGGTTAAGTTACCCACTCAAAGACACATTTCTAATATGTGATATGAACCCAGGTACATCAAATTCAAGGGCACTTACAGTCTTGATTCTACCCTGCTAAATTCACACAGCAGGACATGGCCTAGGTTTTTAATGCTATAAAAGGCTTTTCTCCAGTAAAACTCAGAATAAATATATGTGATGACATTAGCATATCTTCCTCAGGCTGGTCTGATATGGATACCAACCAGAAGTCCAGCTGAACCTCTGACAGAGTTAAGACTTCAAAAAGGAGCACCCCCACCTACGGGAACGATGTGACTAATGTCTCAGAGCCAGCCTCCCACACATAGGCACAATATAAATAAACATGGTCCCAGCCACTGTCTGCGTTCACTTTTAATAAATGTGATAAGCACTCCCGCCTCTAATCAGCTGACATCTACATGCATACAATAAAACTAATTCACATCACTTTTTTAGAGACTCTGGGAAAATATAATAGGAACATTGGGCAGTGGGGTTCATGCTGGGACTTCAAATTCCTTATTCTAAGTGGAGAACAGTGACCTTCAGATTTTATGGAACATGAATCCTTAAGACGTGTTCTTTTGTCAGGAGTGGGAACGAAGTTAGAACTGTGAGCCAAAAGCTCGTGACACATTTGGTTACCTTGTCCTGCTCTGAAGCTTCTGACCAACTCCTCACATTCAGAGGGAGGATGGGTGACAGAGGATGGGCATTATATTTAGTCTGAAGCTTCTATTGTCCTGAATACAGTGCTAGAGACACACTGAAGAAGTGATTTTTAAAAGATCTCAGAATGTGTTTCATCAAAATTAACACCTTCATACCTCACCATCATTATGACCCTGCTCCAAAATTCTTTCTCTTTGAGAACTCACGTCTGAGAAACAGTGGAAGAGCCTTATAGGAGTGGAATTCTGGTTACTTCTTGGTCACACGTTGGTCTCCATCAAAATTATAACCACCATCATTAACTAAATTTAGTTCCTAGTAATTTTTGACCACTACCATCCAATCCATTCTGAAAGTATTTATCACTATTAAGGGCATTCAAAAATATTCATTAAAGCCTAAGAATTATTTTTAACATCTCTTCATTCAAAAGGCAGTCATTCATTCACTCACTCCTTCATTCACCATATATGTATTGAGCATTTCCCACATGCCAGGACTGCGCTAAACCTAAAGGATAGAAAGATGAGCAAAAAATGGACATGATTTCCTGCCCTCATGGAACTCAGTCTAGGGAAGATAGAACTTAAAAATCACTCACAGGAATATAAAGTGTCAATTATAATAAATGCTGTGAAGATGTGATACATGGGGCTCTCCAAGGAGGATTTGACTTAATTTGTGAGAATCCGAGCGTTAACCATAAGGGAAATACAACTTAACTTGCTATCAGAGGGCTATCAGCAAAGTCCTTGGAGCAGTGTCTTAGGCTGGGTTCCCTGG